AGCCTCTATACATGTATGGCTGGATTTGGCCCTGCTTACCCTGCTAACCCCAGCCATGCCCCCATGCTCCCAAGGTATTTTTGCACTGGAGCTTGCCTGGGGCAGTGCAATGCCATGAATAACTTTCCTCCCGAGAACAAGAGGGAATGGAGAAATGGAAGAGCCAAGTAGGGTTTGGCAAGAGCAGCATGGAGGGAAGGAGAAAGAATCTGGGTTGTACCAGGGATGGGATAGGGAAAAGAAAGTGAATCAAAAGCAAAGTGGGGTAAGGGACATTGGAGGAAGGCCAGCACATTGGGTCAGGCAGCAGGCAAGAAGGGGGGTATCAAAGCAGCTAGAGAGTATGGATTTGTGTCTACAACAGGAGCAGGCAAGCTTAGATTCACAGCAGAGCCCTTCCAAGGGCCAGCAGGTGACTCAGAAGGTCACTGATTTAATAAGTAGGACCTGAAACCAAGAAGACCTCCTTCTGGGGAGGTTTCAGCAGCGCAAAGGCTTATCTTGGTCAGCTTCTTCATCCTGTCCATCCACAGAGTTGTGTCATCAGCCTGATAACTGATGACACTGATCAGTGTCAGAGAGGAGACCTGCAGAGCTCCCAGGAACGAACACCTGGAGCAGTGTTATAGCTGGGATCTGGGGAGGTGTTTTGGGGAGTGGGGGGGAGAGGAGGGTGCAACAAAGCTGTTGAGCAGAGTTTTGCACAGACATCTACAATTTCTCTACATAAGCAGGGGTCTATTAAGGTGCAAAGCAGTTGAAATGTGAGAACACACATGCCTCTACACATGATACTGCACCTGGCACTAAAGCAAATGTCTTACAGTTCAACACATGATCTGACATCTAAATATCAATTCCCATCTGCTTGCAATGATATAGGAAAGCAGCTGGCAGCAGATAGAGCAAAGGTGACAAAATCTAAGTGCCCTGCTGTCCATTCTGTTAAAAGCATCCCTGTAGGTACTATATCCTGGTTCTGAAAGGCTGCTAAAACAGGGCTAGCAGCTGAGCAGTTTTAACATACCTTTGGTAAGGGACCTTTCCCATGTAGTCTTGGGACTTACTTCTGCATCCAGAATGTTTTCCCAACAGATATTGACAATATCATCAACATCTGATAGATCCAAGGCATCAACAGTGGCAGACCTCATATTCCACTAACCAAGAGAAGAAGAATCTCCAGAATGCTCTGGAAAACATTTGTGACACTGGGTTAAACAACAGCAGAGAAATGTAAGTTCAGGGGGGAAATATGCACCTTGATTGGAAATGAGGAGTATCAGTAAGTACAGAAAACTATGGGATATCTCAATCCACAAACAAAAGGGATACAAAAGTTTCCAAATTTCTATTTTGTTGGGTGGTTTCTACCTGCTATAGTTGCCAAAATATCTTATCTGTAGACATTAATATTTAAAACTTACTGTTTAGCATGGGATGCCAATAGGAATGGGTAGTTTTGCTTGGAGCTGACAGAGATGATAGCATCCAACACTGCCAACTCAGGTTCCTAATCAAAGCCTTGGGACAACGTGCTGGAAGTAAGAGTCATGCAGGTCTCGCTCAACATCTTTGTTGCTGATGTGGACATTGGGATTGAGTGCACCCTCAGCAAGTTTGCCGATGACACCAAGCTGTGTGGTTGGGTTGATCCGCTGGAGGGAAGGAATGCCATCCAGAGGGACCTTGACACGCTTGTGAGGTGGGCAGATGCCAACCTCATGAAGTTTAACCCTGCCAAGTGTAAGGTCCTACACCTGGGTGGGAGCAATCCCAGACACAGCTACAGGTTGGGTGTCCCTGTCCATAGCAGGGGGGTTGGAACTGAATGATCTTCCGGTCCTTTCCAACCCTAACTATTTCATGATTCATTTGGCTCCCTTAGTGTCACATCTCCTTAACACAGACATACCTGAGCTCAACCCCTATTGCTGAGTGGGCAGAAATGGACATTTCTTCCTGTCTTCTGGAGAGGGTGCAGGTAAGGCAGAACTAGAGGAATAATGTCAATGTGGCAATGGAGAAGTGGAGTTATTCCAAGCTATTTCCAGGGGATGTCCCTTGAAAGGCAGAAATTACATTCTTAGAAGAGAACTTTTTATGTATTTATTGACTGACAAGAACACTAGCAGAGCAGACACTAGTGCAATACTGGACAACACAGCCAGCTACACAGATACACGTTATAATCAAGAGGATTATATAAAAATGAGGACAACATACAAGCAGGACTGTAATGCAACTTAAACCCCATAGCACCATTTTCTCTCTAGAGGGTATATAAAAATATATAAATAACATCCATATTTCTTGTCAGTAAAGTTGTACATCTTGAGGTAGACAAATGTTTTGTTTCCCTTAAAGCCCAGCCTTATTTTGATTTCAAGTGACATACTCTGTTGTCACAAACTGTCTTTCCAGTCTTACACAAGGTGTAGAAGTGGGGTTTGTTACTCTGCTCATTAGCGTTTCTTGGCTTCCATGGCCATATCTGTTAACCTAATAAAACACTCCTGACCCCAGCATTGCACTGCCCTTCCATCACAGCAAATAAGTGCTGTGTGAATCTGCTTACACCACAAGGAATACTGGTGTGTAACCATTTCACCCAGCAGCCTCCAGATATGTGATTCCTTCCCAAGCAGGTTCAGCTCTTTATTTGGGGATGGTGGGGCCCCTCCATACCACCACTTCACACACTTCTATAAAGCTTTTCTGACGGATGCAGTAATCATCCTGGATCCACTGCTACCAAGCCCAGCACCACAACACACCAGGAGAGGCAATAAGAAGTAGCCTAGGAAGTACACACAGGGCCAGGCACTAACCTGTGTCTGCAGAGTAGCCTTGGTGTGGGTAGTGAGGGTCCCAGCCAGTTTAGGAGTATTATCCTAAATATATAGCTATTGCCATTCTCAGGTTACTTGGATCTTAGGTACATCATAGGAATGGTTTCATCCTGAATCAAAAAACTATACAGGAAAGCATATGCAGCTCAGATTTTTACCATTGTTGGGCATGTTGAGATACATTTGCACTTGGGAAAGGATTCTTTTATAGCCAGGGCAGAAGCTTTCACCTTTGCTGCTGGAAAGATTCCCATGTAAAGGCTTAAGTCAGATCCCTTTATAACTCCAGCCTCTCATTCCAGTAGCTTCTTTGCACCAAGAGGCAGCACATCTGCTGGATTTGTAAGTACACAGCTCATACACAGACCAAATGGAGGTCCAGGTCCTCACATCCCATGTTTCCAGGAGGTGGCAGAATAGCTTTGCTCAAGAGGATGCTTGGTCTTGATTCCCCAAGGAAACATTAACTAGAAGTGATCCCTTCACATTTCACAGACACCAGTGGTAAGGGACTTGGGGACGCTGCCTCAAAGTCCATATGACATGGACCACACACACAAAATAACCCAAGATCGTTTTCAAGTGCTGCAAAGCAGTATCTAATCCTGCTTTAAATGTGCCTTCTTTGCCTGAAAGAGTGCCAAAGGACCGGTTTAGTTCAAATTATCCACAGTGAAAGGGCTTCATTGAGCTGCCTAAATAAAGATATCTGGTCATCTCACCATTCTTCTGGTCTTGGTTTTGAGTATGTTGTGCAAAACACTTCACATGCCTCCAAAATCCATTTACCTACTGCTCTAAGCATTGCAGCATTTGGAGCCAGATAAAAGGTATTATTAAAATAACACTTTTTTGCCATGTGGATGGGAGAACTAGCCTACAGATTTGAAATGCTCTTCATAGGAAAATGAAAGCTGTTAGCAACATATATTTCCTTCCATGCTCAGTGCGGGACCAGGTCATTGGAGAAGACTAAAAGACTTCCCTAACGTACCTGTTCCTGTGTGCTTTTCTCGTCTGTTTTTTACAGGAATAGGACAGAAGAGTGAGTCTGAGCAAGCCAAAAAGCTTCACTTTGAAACGTGAGACCATCAAGAGAAGTTTCCACCATCTAGGAGCATTCATTCTAGTTGCCCTCAGATTATAACATCTGGGTGTGGAGAATGGACTGTGGATGCCCAGGAACTACTGGCAAGTGGGCAACTGACAAGTGCAGCTTTGAGAAAAGCAAGAGGACAGAGAGGTACCTCCTCCACTGGAGGATCCCCTCTGCTTCCCTCCTCCTTTTACTGAGTCCCAGCCCCTCATTAAATGAGAATGCCCTGTGTGACGGCATGGGATCCCCAGATATCCCTCCCATGATGTGATATATCCATCCTCTCTGATGGAACAAGGCAGTAGCCGTATGGCTTGGGATCAGAAGTGTAGAGCAGAGCTAGTTCCTTTGTCATGTCACCAATGATGCCAATTTTAACTTACTTGCATGCTTTTTCATTGAGTGCTCAACATTGAGACTCATGGGAAGATTTCAACTCTAAAAGGATTAAAGCCACCATGTAAATAATGGTCTGTTCAATATTAAGTTCTTAGGTATTTAGGAGGTAGAGCAAAAATCAGGCCAATTAGCCCTATTTGCAGTACTATGCCTGTCATAAACACTTTAATTCAGTTCAAGTTAACTTGAGCCAGAAACGGGATAAAAAGGAATAAGCCCATTAAAAGACCTGTAGGTAGCCAAAGGGAAGGTTGTAGTGGCCTTTAAAGAGCCAGTTAATGGCTAGATCTGCTCTGAGGCAGTTCTCCTCCATCCTTTTATGAAGCAGAAATCAAAAATAGTTGTAAAAATAACCCAACAGGGCAACAAGGTGAAGACAAAGAGAGTGTAAGTTCACACTCCTCACTGCAATGTGATTGTCCAAAGCACAGTAAATGAATGGAGATCCGTACTCAAGAGCTGGAGAAAACAGGTGAGATCCTACCTCTCGTTAGGAGAGCTTGATCACCTTGAAAACTTGTCCAATTCAGCCTATGGGTGAGTCCATCTAAGCAGCCCACCCCAGCATCTTCATCCATGACATTGCCAATGAATTTTGGTCTAGGTTTAAGGATCTAAGTATTCTTTCCAGCACCAGCCCATCTCCACACAGGCATCCTGCTCCCTGGTTTACAGCCATTACCAACATCGGATAAATACAGCAGCTTTCTTATCTCAGAGGCACTCCAGAGCTGTTCACAATAAAAACACTCTGACTGCTGCTATAGAATTAACCAGGACAAGCTCTGGAGAAGTCAAATACATTGCCAAGCACTGTAACAGAGTTCAACACCCAGTTTGTGCTGCACATATCTGTGTGTACTGGGTGGCCGGGCAGTGAATGCCATTCCCAAGACACAGCCAAAAGAAACAAAACAGGTTGCTTATGTTGTGTTCAGTTGAAAGTGAACTAGGTAAGTACAACTCAAAGCCAGGGCATCACAACTGTGTAATGGACTGTGCTCTTTTCCCCCAGGTCACCTTCTCTCTTGCCAGGTGCCTGCAGTATCTGGATATATCTAACTCCCCTGTGCAGAGATTGTCACCTGTGACTCGCAATTTATAAGATGTCCCAGTTCCTGTGGTTCCTCATTCCCTTTCTAGAAATGTTCCCTGCCATTAGCACAGGGCAGAACTGTGGGATGGGATGCACCTTGGGCACCAGGGCAGAGTGGTTGGTACACACGAGACAAAAAGGTGAAGAGACAAAAAGGTTTGGCTGGGACAAGGCAAGGGAGGGAGGGGGAAAGACGAATAATTGGCACCATCACCCTGGATCCACCACCATAAATAACTCCCTGTGAGGCAGCATGCTGCAGAGGGATCACTTCCCAGACCTCGTCTGAGTTCCTGCAGTATGTGTACTGTAACAGAGGCAATTCCAGGTCTCCTGTGTACAGCAAGATTAAAACATGGTTAACGTGCACTTGGAGTCTCACATCCAAACTTCGCCCTGGGAGATGATGGACATGAGCTCCATTTGTCTGTAAACTGGTATTTCTGAGGCATAATTCTTGCATCGAGATGAGATTACTCAACAGCGTGTCTTTGACTTCAAAGAAGAAAGGGTTCAATCAGCAGCCGGAGAACAGCACTGCAAATCTCTGCTGCCAGAGTCATTTTGCCTTGGTGCAGGAACACAGCTGGTTCTGCTACATCAGGATCCAGCCTCTGGTTAGTTCCTTCCCTGGGCCCCTAATTCAAGCCCTCAGAATTTCAGTTTCACCACCCCAATGCATTTACATAAGTGCAAGTTAGAGATGGAGGAGGGATGTTCCTGCAGACCAGAGTACAAATTTTAGCTCATGAGAGATATTTTTGACTGCTTCAGTGTTTCTGCTGTTCCCACGTTACCCCCACACTCTGACCCTGCTTCCTGATGTGATAGCTCACAAAACCTCTGGTTTTCACCCCTCATATGGGAGTCCTCCCCAGACTGGAGGATCTCAGCATTGAGATAACAGGAGCACTGGACATTTTTGGTGCTTGCCTTTGCCCTCACCCTACAGCAGAGAATCCCATCTCTCCCTCCCTACTGCTTCCTTGTGCTCTAGGACTTGTCTTGACCCTCTAGCACTGTCTTTACTGCTTGCAGCTGTAGACAACCTCTTCCTGCATGCACTGTTGGCATTCAACATAGCAACACCACTGCACTTGACAGTGGCAAGAGAAGGTAACCAGCCGGCTCTGGGTGTTATAGCCTCGTCCACAGCACATGCTGTCACAGTTGCCTTCCCTTGAGCAGGTCCTCCCAGCAGTTCCCAAGGAGTATTTGCTGGGACGACAGAAACTAGGGGAATCTTCCACATACACCAGGTCAGTAGAGCGGGGTGAAGCAGGGTGCTTGAGCGAATGGCTGTGTCTCTGTGGGCCAGCCAGCTCTGAGTGTCCCACAGCGTCGTTGGTGGTGCTAAAGACCTTGACGGCATCATCATAGCGCAGCTTCAGCAGTCGTCCAATCTCATGGAAAGGAGAAAGCTGCTTCCAGCATGTCCGGACAGCACATGAGCCAGAGACACCGTGGCACTTGCATGTGGTTTTGAGACCATTTTTCACAGCCTGATGAGGAATGGAAAGGGTAGTCATTATCTGCCAGGACCATAAGCCTAGTTCTGGGTAGAGGCAATACCTTCGATTGCAGACAGACTGGAAGTACCTCAGTTTTATTGGTATTATTCAGTATTTATTATTATTCCTATTTTATGGAGGAAAAAACAAACTCAGATCTGATCTCAAGAGTATCAACTTCACCATCTCTGAAGCTTTAGCTGTTCCCAAAACTCCCTGTGTCCATGAATTAACTCAGCCATTGAGTTTTACAGCTGTTACCACGCTGTGCATTGCTGTCACTCAGCCCCTGATGCCACTAGAGGATACAGGATGCTACTCTACCACTCGACATGCAACTCTTCACCCCAGAGTACAGAAGTCTTTCCAGGGAGCCCTCAGTGTTGTAAGGTCCATGGCACAGAGGTAGGCAGGTCTGGTTTGTGAGTAGGGGCCATGAACAGCCCTCTCACTAACAGCCTTGGCTGATAATGGCTTAGAAGACTTGCACCAAGTCCTAACTTCATTCTAGCCCTGCTAGTGCAGCTCCTCACCTTGATGCCAACGTTGGTGTTGTGGATGTCCACCTTGGCCCGCAGGTCTTTGCCAATCCTCTTCTGCCCCAAGAACTTCTTCAGGAACTTGGTGCTGTATTTGAGGTTGTCTCCACAGACTCCCCATTGCCAGGCCTTGCGGTTCTCCAGGTCTGGGGAGTCATCGCAGGTGCAGCGCTCCATGCGCCCAGCGCTACACGCTCTGGCCAAGGAGTGGGTGAGAGCAGCAGAGGATACAGCGTAGAGGAAGGCAGTCTCCTTAAAACCTGCACAGGAGAAGGATTAGGAGAAGGTAGGAGCAGAAAAGGCAAAATAAGGTGTTCATCCACCCCACCGGTCCTCCTTAGTCTATGAGCAAAAATCAAGAACAAGACTTAGAAACACAAAGAGACAAAACTCTTCCATTAACTGCCCACCATTCCTAGCAGAGAAACTGAACATCATGTTTGAAGTAGCTGATGTAGCCTCACCCGGTGGCTGTGACTGATTCAATACGACGACAGGAGACCACTCATGAATGAAGGGATGGGTGGCAGCAGCCACATAGTCTTGGGAGAACATTCAACTGCAAAAAGCAGCAGTCATGAAACTCCGTTTGTCCTCATGCTCACCACAGAGCTGATAGGTGTGAAGACGGACATTGACACCATGTTGGGCCTTAAAATTGGGAAATACTTAGAAGAGACTGAAAAATATGTTAAAAATCTGACCTGTTATTTAGAATATTTGTAATTGAGACTGTGCTAGCATTTCATATGGAAAAAGCACTACACAAACTACACTAGCAAAGTAGTTTGACTGGGAAGGTTCCATGTTGAAGGATATCATGGGCAAGAAGGACAACTCTCCTGCATGTATGTTGCAGGGAAGAAAACACATTGAAGCGAAAGAACATTCCACATTGGAAAATTCCACATCGGAAACCACAGAGATCTGATCTAGTCTTGCAGTTAGCCCTCTGAGCAGAGGTTGGAAGGCACTTCTAGAATTCATCCAGTCCAACATCAAATCTTTCCATCATTCTGTTCCCTCAAAGAATTCCCATCCAGCTGTAATAATAGATGAGACCACTGACTGCTGAGATCTGAGTGAGGTCACCATAAATCTGAGCAGAGAACAGGACAAAGAGTTCTGATGGCTATCAGTAAGAAGAATGAAAAATTGACTAATCATGAACACAATGGAGAGGCTGCATTAGGAACGTCAAAATAGACTTCACAGGAGCTCTTTGGAATTGCAGAGTTTTAGAGGAAAGATCTAGCAACAGTATGGATGTGGATGAGTCAAGAAAAGGTGGCGGTCAAGGAGATCAATAAAACTGCTTCCTGCCTCACCATTTTAGTTGCTGTTTCACTGGGACAAGTAACTTGCAACTAAGCTCTCTGGTTGATGATTCTCTATAAGATCTCCTGGGGTACTGGAAGAATGATGAAAAAATGTCACTAAATCATACCAAAAGAGAGGAGAGCATTTGGAAACTGAAACTCTTTCCCATACCATATAAAGCTAGCAGTACCAGTCAGCTCCACATACTCTGCTAAATCTGACTTTGTGGAATACCACACTGCTTCTGCTATTTCTGAGCAGTGATGGTTTGGTTTCTCCTGTGGCACTCCATGTAATTGCTGGTCAGGTTTCAACCCACTTGAAATCAGAGACCACTGCTTGTGGTCAGGCCACTGCAGACAGCAGTAACTGAAGATAACAAGCATACTTCCAAATAGTCTCCTTCTTCTCCTCCCATCAAACCTCCTTTTATGGCAAAGGGTCAATGTCACCAGGCTGCCAAATGCTTGTCTGAAAAGTCTAAGATGATTCCTTCTACTTCTTCGTAAGGGATTGGCCACCATTTAATTGTTTAATTCACAAACCACATGAGTAAAGGAAACACTGAATGGTCCTTGTGGGGTAACAGTGAGCAGCAGAGCAGCTATTGAAGCTGGATTTTTAGTAGGACATAGCACAAATGAGCAGCAATCAGCTTCAACAAGCATGGTTTGAGAGGATCTAAATAGAGGTTTCTCCATGAGTCCTGCGTATCAACGGAGATCTTGCCACCACAGCCAGTGGAGCTTGGCGTGGATTCCCAGGCTCTCAGGGTCTGTTTTAGGGATGAGTCACTCCCCATTGACTGTGTTGATAGTGACTAAACGAAATCCTAAATATTCAGTGGAAGGGGAGAACTTCCAAATGCAGATGACTTTCCTGGGCACTTCAGTTGCAAACATCCATCAGAGTTGAATTTCAAGATGCTGAAGCAAACCAGCTCCCTCTGGTAGGACCTTGCACATGTCCAAGTCTTCCCCTGAGCTCTCTGGAATTACTTCTTAGCTCAGCTGCCTATAAATACAGAAGGATGTTTGCTGCAATGGCAAGACACTGTTCTGTGGTGTGGTGTGATCTAGACCACAAGGAAAACTAGAATAGAAGGAGCTTAGCCATATGGTGATTCTGCCAAAGGAAAGATGCTCAAGGGCAAAGATTTTACAATGCTGCACTAGACTGTGTAAGCATTTCAGACCAAGTGGAAGAGACATCTCTGGGGAATTAAAAAAAGGAGAAAAATAAGAAGAGAAATAGGAACAAAAATCCAAACCCAACCAAAACAGGGGAGCCCAGAGGCCTTCTCAAGGTCTTTAGTACCACCTCCTGCTCAAAGCAGGGCTAGCTCCAATACCAAAGTTGCTCAGGGCTGTGTCCAGGTGAGTTCTCAATATCTCCACGAATGGAAGCTCTCCATCTGTGTGTCAGTGGCCTTGCTTTGTACCACTCCTAGATTCTTCATCACATCAAAGAAATCACTGCTTGAAGGTCAAAGAATCTAACCAACGTGAAGGGAAGAAATGGATTAATGAATGGAAGGATTGCTCACCTCTCCAGAAGGACTTTTTTCTGAGTGTCTGGATTTGAGCTGTCTTTATTATAGGTATTTATTTCCCCCAAATATCCATGTTGTTTGAGATTAAATACTTCTTACCTGACTCTAGCAGCAATCGACTGCCTTTCTGACACACCTTGGAAACAAAAAATCACCACTGCTTTTTATAAAGACACCAGCCACCACTGTGCAACAAGATGGCTTGAAATGTCTTTCCAGAATACATTTCAATCTATTTCCATGGACTTTTAAAGCAGTGGAGAAGAAACACGGGGCAATTTTGCATGAATCAGTGAAGAGTAATATCCTTCAGTCACAGAAGGATTGTAGGTTGTGGAAAAGGAGTTTTCAATTCTATCTAGAGGAGTGTCAGTATAAAACAAGAAATGTGAAAATAACGAAGTTGGCATTTCAAAACCCAGAAAGTCTGGCTTTTTTTCCTTATTTTCTTACTAGAAATATTTAAATAGGAGAAAAAATATGGTGGCATCTCTAGAAGCAGGAAAAGCATTTGTGATCCGAATCAGATATCCCAGTGCTTCAGTTCTGACTGCAAGTTAAGTTTTCACCTACTACAAAAATGAACCATCTCACTGAGCATGATCTTTTTTCCCCTCTTGCCCTCATAAAACTATCAAAGACAATTAAAAAATGTGTGGTTTTCCTCACGGTTTCTCCAACACCATGGCAATATCGCATGATTTAATCATTTTTAAAACTCTCCATCACTCTTTGTGTGAAAGGAGCATAGTCCATTGTCCAACCAACAATTTCCAAGGCAGCAGCAAGACAGCAGTAGGAATATGTGAGGAACAGATCAAAAGTGTTAGCTGAAAACGTTCATATTCTTTGTGAAACCATCCTGTTTGCAAGGTAATGGAAAACGAGAGCTAGTAATTGCTTCCAGCCAACTGCCCTCTCATATAGGAAATGCACACAGCATACTTTTCTGTATTAAATCATCATTTGATCCTTAAGATTGTGTAATAAAAGTTTTCAAACCCTTCTCCTCATCTGCCAAAACAGGTTTTAAATTACAGGTGATATTTTATTTTGTCAGTCAGGAGTCCCTGGAAATGTTAAGGCATGCCACCAGGAGATAATGAAATGTTTTCCAGCTATTTGAAGATGAGGATTATTCAATTGTCATTTTCAAGTTCTTTGAGGTTGATGAAGGTACAGATGTCAGAAAGACACTCAACATGATCACGAACGGCTTCTTCCACAGCGCACTAAAAAAGCCACAATAGAGCCCTGCAATGAAGTAAATTTGATGTTGTATGTGCTGGTTTACTAAAATATAAATGTAGTATTTAAGAAAATCTGATAATTTAAAATGGAAATGTTAAAAAGTTGCAATCCCGATGCTAATTAAAATTAATATTTTCATTTCATTAAAGTTAATATTGGCTTATTCAGCCCCTTTTTGAAAAAACTAAGCTGCTAAACATTATCAAAGGTCTGAAACTCCATTAATACTGAAGACTGTAACAGTAAATGCTACTAAGCATTAACGAAGAGCAGAAATGGTAACAGGCAGCCAGGCGTTGTTTGGATGTAGACAGGCTTAGCAAAGTGCATCTGCATGCTCTGAGAGCTTGCATTAAGGAATTATTTCAGGGTCTGTCTTCATTCCATTTTTCTCAAGTTCTCAGAATTTGAAGGATTTATTATGCTCCCTCCTACCTCAAATAGAGAATTTGTAGGACATTTCATTCCTCTAAAGCATTTGGTGGAGAAAAGTCAGTGGATTTTCTGCCCAGTCTGGCTGAACTTCTGCAGAAACTCCAAATCAGTGTGAAAGTCTTAGGAGATATTTGTGAACATGCACTGAAATGCCTCAATGCTGATAAATAGCTTTTTCTAACAGAAAATTAGGATTAAATTCTGTATCTGAGAACAGCGAAGATTTACATACAGTGATATCCTGAGAGCTAAGAAGAGTCTTCTCTTAAAATGACCCTTGATGTAAAGCATGAACCCTTATTTTTTCAGTTTCATCCACATTTGACAACGAAGGAAGACAGCAAGTCTAGGAAACACTGGCCTTGAAACAAAATCCACAAGCCAAGGCTGTGAATTTCCTTTTACTTTTCAATCTGTGATAAACTGTGCAGGAAAGATGAGGATAAGACATATTTTGTTACCAAAGGGCCCAAACTGTACAGCTGCCATTCTTAGGAAAAACAGATGCTCTGCACTCCCTGGTTTCTGCCCCATGTTGCTTAATTTGAGGTCATAGGATCCCAGACTGGTTTGGGTTGAAGGGACCTTAAAGCTCTTCCAGCTCCAACCCCTGTCATAGGCAGGGACACCTTCCAGTGGAGCAGCTTGCTCCAAGCCCCTGTGTCCAATCTGGCCTTGAGCACTGCCAGGGATGGGGCAGCCACAGCACCAAGTGGGATTTTATACTGCAAACAAAAGACTACCTTGTACCTCGCTTCAGCAGGCTGGTCCGTCCCTCCAGGCTGCAGTTCCAGCGCTCGCTGCGGAACTGGTACTGGCACTCCATGACTCCGAGCCGGATGGCATCCCGCAAGGTCTCTGCCAAGCCAGGCTCCCTCCGGCACAGCCTCTTCTGCTTGCGGGACAGCTTCAGCAAGTCACACTGCTTCATGTGGACCTTCCCCTGGGCAGTGTTTGTGGAGGGTCCCAGGGATGGGAAGTGGGTCAGAGCTTCTTTCCCGGTCAAGCTGAAAGGAAGCAGAAAAGGCAGTGGGTGATGGAGGACGGCAATCATAGAATCATAGAATAGTTCAGGTTGCAAAGGACCTTAAGATCATCAAGTTCCAACACCCCTGCCATGGGCAGGGGCACCTCGCTCTAAACCATCTCACCCAAGGCCTTGTCCAACCTGGCCTTGAACACTGCCAGGGATGAAGCATTCACAACCTCCCTGGGCAACCCATTCCAGTGCCTCACTACCCTAACAGGAAAGAATTTCCTCCTTAGATCCAATCTAAACTTCCCCTGTTTCAGTTTTAACCCATTACCCCTTGTCCTACCACTACAGTCCCTAATGAAGAGTCCATCCCCAGCATCCCTATAGGCCCCCTTCAGATACTGGAAGGCTGCTCTGAGGTCTCCACGCAGCTTCTCTTCTCCAGGCTGAACAGCCCCAACTTTCTCAGCCGATCTTCCTAGAAGGAAAAAGGTGATCGGGGGGAAGGATATTCAGAAAGCTGATGTTCAGGGTTCTTTACCAGAAGATTAACCAATACAGATTGACTAGATCTACTATCCCGTCTCCACCACACACCAAGCCAAAGATTAACACTGTGGGGAGAAAGAGAAAATGCACTTGTGTTGTCACCAGCAGCCTCTGTTGGGAAGTTTTCTTGACTCCATGAAGAGGACACATTCACACCCTGCAGCTTTGTTCCTTTCTCAGTACATTCACTGTCTCATGCAGAGATTTGGTTTGTTCAGTAGTGCTACACCTCTGTGCTAACTCCTTAAAGCATTAACTGCATCCTACCAGGGTTTGGTGGGCACAGGTACCATGCTACTAGACACAACTACAGAAGACTTCATTAGGGACTGTAGTAATAGGACAGGGAGTAATGGGTTCAAACTTAAACAAGGGAAGTTTAGATTGGATATAAAGAAGAAGTTCTTTAGTGTAAGGGTGGTGAGGCACTGGAATGGGTTGCCCAAGGAAGTTGTGAATGCTCCATCCCTGGTGGTGTTCAAGGCCTGGTTGGACAGAGCCTTGGGTGAGATGGTTTATTGTAAGGTGTCCTTGACCATGGCAGGGAGCTTGGAACTGGTCCTTTCCAACCCTAACTGTTCTATGATTCTAAGACCAACAAGGAGACTTGATCAATGACCAACTTTCTAGGGCAAATACATCTTTTGCTGGAAAACATTTTTGTACTGAAAAAAATAAGGGAAAGCTCAACTAAAAATATGTCTCTAAATGCCACAGCAATGCATGTGTATGTGTTTATATGTAATTCAGCTGAAAAATGTCACGAACTTGAGATAAATGGTTTCATTGTTCATGGCAAGAGAATATTTTTCTTGCAAAATTTATCTCCCTTAATATCTTTGGGCTGCTTGAAAATACAGATAAATTAATTTACTCTGATGCAAACAACCTGGGAACAGTCCTGCATTTGCACAACACTGATCAGGAGTGCCTCTCCTTATTACCAAACAGGTAAGAATTGGAGAGTGCCTCAACCCCCATCCTGAAAATAAATAGAGAAATGGAAACATCCTAAAACCTCTGCTTTTGGACACATCTCAGCCCTAATATGAGCATTTTCAGACTACGCCCTCCCTTCTCCAAGCCTTGCTGTTTTCTTTGCAAGTCCACCAGCACTTCAACATGGACAAGCTGATGACCCAGTTCTTTCTTGTTCTCTCCCAGTCAGGAAAACTGGGCTATACTGCTCCTCAAAGTGACTGTGGGAGTCAGACCAGGAAGGGTGGATAGGGAGGGATGCAAGCAGGAGCAATCTCTGGAGCATATCTACAAAGACCACCTGGCTGTGGCATCCCCACCAGCGGTGCAGGGACTCCCCATCGCCTTCAGTGCTTGAGCAAACCCAGCCAGATGGAGATGGACACGAGGTAGCAAACTGGTACAATGCCAAGCAAGCAGTTCCCCACAGCAGTGTAGGAAGTGAGATTCTTCACCTCTGCACCATTATTGGGTTCCTTATAAAAGCATGGCACTTTCACAGTACAAGCACTGCAGCTACAGTTTTAGTCCTCCACATACTTTATATTTTAAACATTAATTCTGAGTTAGATGTCTAGATCTCTCTGCAGTCAATACAGTCTCCTCAGGCATGGGGATTATAGCACAATTCAGCTGACCTAACCTCACAACACTTCTGCCTTCACTCTCGCAGTAGCCTACAACCCCCAGATGCACTCACACGTCCATAATTAGGAACAAGTTCCTACAGAGATCAGGATTCATTCCATCAGATCAGCACACAGACACAGCTCTCAAAACCAGTGGCTCAGGTAACTTTCAATTTAGGTCAGGAGGCAGAGAAATAACAGGAGTTGCCCAAGATTGCTTAAACAGGGGAAGTTTGGATTGGATATAAGGAGGAAGTTCCTTACTGTAAGGGTGGTGAGGCACTGGAATGGGTTGTCCAGGGAGGTTGTGAATGCTCCATCCCTGGCAGTGTTCAAGGCCAGGTTGTATCGAGCCTTGGGTGAGATGGTTTAGTGTGAGGTGTCCCTGCCCATGGCAGTGGAGTTGGAACTGGATGATCTTGGGGTCCTTTCCAATCCAAACTATTCTATTATTGTAAGGTCCAGTGGCAAAGCTGGGAGCAGAAGCCACTCTCAAAGTCCCAACAAGCACAGCTAAAATTACCCATAACAGCAAATCCTTGCAAACTCTGACTGTAAATGTGTTTCGTTACGGTAAAACTACCATGGGATCAGATCAGGATCACAGTATGAGAACATTCTTACAAGATTAAATAGAAAATATGCAGAAATTTGCAGTTAAGCAAACTGCACATTGATTTTAGATGATTTAGAGTTTATTATCTACAGATCGTATGGCAAAAAAGGAAAATAAACTCTTTGAATTAATGCACACCTGCTAGCAATCTGAAAGAACAATAAGGATCTCCAACTTTTATTTCTCCCTCCTTTTCTGTCTAAGCACTTTGCTAAATTCATCTATTTCCTTTAATCTCCTTCCAGCCACATTCCAGCTGCTTAAGAAACTTTTAATGAGAGCCTGTTCCTGTGCAATGCCCAGTGTCCTCTGGATCTGAAAGATCTTAAAAATCCCTAAAAATATGCCTTTTCTACCTCTCCCAAGTCAGGAGAAAAATCAAAGGGAGCCACAACAGTCCTCCATATCTGATTTCATGGGCCTTTCATGTTCCACAGAAATATCTACACCCCACAGATAACTGCAACAAGCATTCAGGAGAGGTGAAAGAGAATATGGGACAATGACAGATCAAATCAAGGCCACTGCAGTGCACAATAGGTCCTCAGCTCTCCTTTCTCCCTGGCAACTCAATGGAAGAGAGTTTTAATCCTTTCAGAAGCAACATTATTTCATCCTCAATATTCATCCCTGTACAAATGGATGGCCAGCAGCAGTGTTGTAGTGCCTTGACTGTAGGGAAGGATCTTCCATGCTTTGTACCACCCGCTGTCTACAGAGGAGGTGGCAGAAATCCCTAAAGAAGCATCTTGGGATAAACTATTGCTCTCAAAGGTGTTTTACCTTTCTCCATCAGAGTTGTCATTTCAGACCCTCTTTATACCTGCAGCCCTCCAAGTTTTCTGTCAAGCTTTCTGCTCCTCACAAAGAAAAATGGCTTGAATTAAAATCTCAAGTGAGGTTTACATGAGGTTACGAGTTGGAATCCTTTGCAATGAGCTTTTCTGCTTGCTGTGAACCCTTTTTGGGAACAGCAACAGATAATGTGTCCAGATATAGCCTCTGTTTAAAAAAGGGCAATTCTCCTGAAACTCCACAGGGAACAGCATATCCTCCATTGGAAGAGATGGCTGTTTTGGGACGAGAAGTATGGCATGAGGATTTAGCTGGGAACTATTGCAATCAGTGCCTATGCACCAGTTCACTCTAACTGCACTGGGTTCTTCATCCTTACCTGCTCTGTGCTCCCACAGGATGGACATACTTGGTTTATATCCTTCCCCTCTTGCCTCAGTCACTGAAACATCTCCATGTAGCTCCTGATTTCAGGGCAGTGCATTCCAGCAGTCTGGTTGATCATTACATGGGAGATCTAACTGAGTCTAACTCTGGGCTGGCCACGCTCCTTACATGAAACACTCAACATTCAATGGGGCAATTTTATAGGAAGTCTGATACCCTGATACAGTGACTAAAGAGAATCTGGGAATGGAAGGTAAGCAAAAAGCACCTGTGAAAAGCCTTTACCTATTCAATGCCTCTGTAGCCACACATCATCTCTGCTGTGACAGTCACTACAGACTCCATCTTTTCAAGTCTCATCTGAAAGCTGCCTTCCTTCTCCATTTCTGCTCTCTTTCTGCTAATACACTTTTTAAATACCCCAGCATTCTGTGTGTCTGGGAATGCAAAGGAAGATGCTGTAACAAACCCTCCTGATACACTGTACTTTGAGGAAGGATTATTCAGCCTGGAAGTAATATAAGCATTTGTTTTATCAGAAACATCTTCAGAAATCTTTCCAGGGTCAGAACTGGACAGGAGAATCCCTGTAGGTAGTAGATTCATCAGGGACATGCTTCAATAACAGTTACCAAAGCAAACATAAGAATGTAGGTAACTGGGCTAAAGATGAAACCCAAAGCTTACTCAACATCTCTAGAAGGATACAGGGGACAGACAGAAGGATGCAGGGGTATCCTTCTATCTTGTATACCAGGGGCATACAGGTGAGCACAGCATTTTTGAAGGTACCCTTATTCACATTAAGATGTCATTTGACATACTAAACTCTTTTCAGAACTATGCAAACCTAATACACCCACAAGTCATGTGTTGTTCTAACTTTCTAAGGGCCCCTTCCAGCATGAAATGAGCAACACTTGTGTCACTGACTTTGATGGGAGCAGAACTAGCTCCAGAGGACACAGGTAGGCTGAATTAAGAGGAGCTGTGAAGGCAGGCAGTACATGGAAGCCTAGCACCTCTGTACCTAGCACAGGTATTCAAGGACGAGTTATAAAGGAAGGCTCCAGCAGACCTGGCTGCCCACATTGCACAGGCCAAACTGAGCCATGAATGAGACATGTGTTGCAGCTTGCTCCATGGAGGTCTCTCCAGGAGAAGGCTTTAACCAAGTCTGTGGCTCCCGCCCATCCAACAACAACCTACCTGAGCTGGGTCTCTTCTGAATTCTGCCCTAACTCTAGGAAGAGACCCTCTTACACCCTCTGAGGAGCTCTTTGCCCTCCAGCACAGCCTGAACTACTTCCCACTTTGTGAAACCCAGCCCCTAAGAAGGCAACAAGAGCTGAGAGCTTTTAGGGAGGTGTAGAGAGATTCCCACCCAAGGAGCTGTACATCCTGAAAGCAAATGCACGGCTAGGATGAGGAGGGAGTACCTTAGAGGGGCTGGAGCATGGGGGACATTGAAGCAAAGGTGGAAACAAAACAAGCACGAAGGAAGTCAAGGGGTGTACACTGCCTGTGTACCAGGGAAACAGCCACCCCTGGGTTCCTGCATCTAATGAGCCAGGCAAGCCCAACATCACCTGAACAACAGCTGGACCACACTTTATGCAAAGCTTATTTTCTCCCCTCTCCTGTAGGCTCCAATGTACCCCTCTGTGGAACCAGCGTTAGCAATTCAAGGTCTGCCCAAGCACAGCCAGTGTGCTGACATCAGATAGCCAACAACCCCAGGTGATGGGAATGTGCTCTTCCAAGGTCTGCCCACAGCTGCCAGTATTTCTCCAGTGTAAGGCTCTGCTAAGTATGGCAAAGCTTGATCTTGTGTATTTATAGGTTATCTTCATCTTTGCTGGGCCCTTGGACCACTTCTGCTGGACTACCCCAGGCACTTCTTGCCTTACCTTGGTCCTGATGGAGTCAAACTTGGCATTTTCACTGCTTTCAAACAGCAGTGTCTCACCTTTGCCAAAGCCACTGTAAGCAACAGAAAGGGCTCAGGTCCTCTCTTTGCAGATTGGCACCCAAAAGCCCCCTGCACCTTTCATTACATCTTCGGAGGTTTCCTCAATTAAGTGTTTGGAAAGCAAAGATCTGGCTCCTGTGCATAAGTCTCTCCTATTCAGCAGAACTTAGAGGTTGCCTGCTGCACCAGGGCCTAAGGTCCCTTCTCATTCAGTAGTAATTCAGATGTGAGATACTTCCAAACCAAGCTGTATCAGGCATTCACATCAGGACTTCTGGATACTAGAGTTCCTCTGTGTCTATGGGCTTAAAGTAAGCACCCATGGATCACATTATCCATCGCTACCAAGCACCCAATGGTTCTTAGACTTTGTTTTCCTTCTTGCAGTTTTTCAATGGAGAGGTGAGAATACGCAGGGCAGCCCTGTGACAAACCCCTCAAGGAAAACACCTTCCAGAAGTGGAACTGCAGCCTCAGATCCTGAGCTAGGCACCATCAAGAGGCAGCGCACCCAGATTTAATGCCCAGGAAGCAGCTTCTATCAAACAGATCCTTGTCACAAGATAAAGAATCAGTCAGGTTGCTTTAAGAGCTTGAGCAATACTCAGTGACCGCTTTGTGTTAGTTATCTGAAAGGAAGGCACAGGGACATTCACTTCCACTAAGGACAACCCTGTGCACGTGTCCCCATAGCTGAAAAGCCAAACACCACAACCCAGCTCCTTTGTAGAGCATGTGTACATACACACCATGAATGACCAAGAAAGGTAGGGTCCTCCCCTGGCAGCAGGTGCTTAGATACGAGTTAGGCTAAACAATACAATTAATTAACTTAAAATCCATCTGTTTTAAGGAAGCTTTGATTCAGGAATGAAATACCAATCATTGCCCTATGTAAGCAGTGCCAAGCCTGCAGATACTTGCCAGCAACTGTAAGAAGTGTCTGCCACCTGATGGGAGGATCAGTAGAGAGGGACCAAGACCCTCCAGATCTGTCTTGGGTGTTACCATCACTCGCAGCAGTGTCTGAATGCATTGGTATTTGCGGCTCCTCTACCCTCCCTGGGAGATGAGCACTAACAGCCCTGCTTAGCACAGGAGAGTCTGAAAAACCTCCCTGAGAAGCAGCTCACTGAGAAAACAAACCAAAACCCATCTCCACAGGAAGTTCTGCATTGACCAAGTCTATTAAGACCCCACCTTTGCCTTTAACCCAAACAAACTGAAATGTGAGGGGATGACACGCACCCAGGGGCAGTCGTGCCCAGGTTTATCCTGCACCGTATCCAGGCTGAAGCATCAGTTCTGCCTCCCTGCGCACCCTCTGGCCCTGGGCTGGCTTGGAGCCCCGCAGCACCCACATGCCACCCAGACCTCTCTGCTGAGCCCGGCCTTCCTTCTCCCACCTCCTTCCCTCCAGGGAAGCAGCGTGGAGCGGGGTGTCACAGCCTGCAACCAGCCGGGGCTAATTCGCATCCTGAACGGAAACGGAGCGCGGTTCAAGCAAGTAAGCTTGATCCCGGGTGCTCCCAGCATCTTCCAGCCCGCCCCTGCGCACCGCTGCCCACACCTTGGTCTTTCCTCGCCCCGTTTCTCCGCCGTGCTCACACCCAGCACCCTTTACCCCATCCCTTTCAAGCTCCACAGCTCCAGGCACCGCTCACCGGCACCCGCGCAAGGGCGCAGCAGCCGCGGACCCTCCGAGCCTTCCCCCAGCGCAGCATCCACCGACCCTCCGCGCTCCCCCCCATCCCGGCGCTGTCCCGCGGACCCTCCGCGCTCCCTCCCCGGGTCCCTGCGCGGAGGCGGCGCCAGGGGCCGATCCCCGCGGGCGGTGCTGACCCGAAGTAGGCGGCGGCGGGCGGCGGCGGCAGGAGGAGGAGGATGGGAAGGAGGAGGATGACGATGAGGAGGATGCGGCCGAAGGCGCAGGGCATGGTGCCGGGCGGTGCCGTTCCGCAGCTCACTGCGCGGCCGCCCGGCGCCGCGGCTCTTTAAGCGGGAGGCGGGGCGGCCCCCTCCTCCCGTCCCGTCCCGTCCCGTCCCGTCCCGTCCCACAGCCGCCGGGCACCCCCGGGGCTCCCTGAGGACCCGCTGGCCCCCAGAGCCCTCAGGGTCTCCGTGCTGGGTCGCGTCCCACCAGGTCCCTCCATCCTTGCGGGGCGCGGGGACGAGCATTGGCAGTCCCCATGGCAGCTCCGGGATGCTCGACGGTGCCATATGGAATAGTATATAGGGAATATCCTGCTGCCAAAGTTTACTGCTGCCTTTGACAGCTGCGGGCACCCGGTTATACAGCTAAACTGGTGGGTTAAGGAAAAAACTAAAGAGGCACCTGCAGTGCCTGGGCACCCAGCACACACCTGATCCAGTTCTGCTTCTGCCTGGGCTCACTGCTCTAATGTTCGTGGACATACCAGGGAGATCCCATGCACAGAGCATGCTCTCACAGGCACATATAACCAAACATGCACTGCACAAGCAGACATCTCCTAGAAATATCGGTGGGAAGGACCCTTTGGAGGTCTCTGGACCATCTTCCTGTCCCGAGGCAGGTTGCTGTCAAACCTAGATGAGGATGGTTGTGTCTTTGTCCTGCAAGACCTCCAAGGATGCAGATGTCCAGACCTTTCTGGGCACTTGTTCTATGGATGCATGACCCTGCAGGGTAGGCACTGTTTAATGCCCAGCCTGATCCTCTCCAGTGCAATTACACACACTTCCACAGAGGAACTCAGCAACAAATAACCAGAACCCAGTGTCCATTGAGACAAATGTTAGCAAGGTTTAATCCCCGTGCTCTGAAAACACTCCCATAAAATCACAGGACTATGGAGACACATACGTGATAGGGCTCCAGACAGGCAGGTAACCAAAGAAGCCAACCCACCCAAGGAATAAGTGAGAATGGCAGTTTTGCTGAGCTGGTGGTGCACTGCTGCCTTTCACACCCTCCTTCATAAGGTTTGCCTTGCAAACAGTGTAGAGGTGTGTGCAAGGTTGTGAAACGCAGCACTTCCCAGTCACACTTAGGGAACTCCAAGTGGACCTGTAAGTGCTCCCATCCTGCAGCTGCATCCTCAAACGTCTCCTGATGGGGAGGGTACACTGAGAGCTGCTCTCTGTTACCGACACCGGTGTTGTTCTCCAGGGTGTGCTTGGGCTGCTGCTGCTTATTTTCCTACACATGGCACTTTCCCAGGGTAGGGCATCTCTATAACCTGCCTGGATGATGGAGCTGAGCTGTCCCACCTCCTGCCTGCACAACCCTGCCACAAGGGCATTAAGCCTTCAGCACAGGGGACAACACGAGTGGTCATCTTGACCCCAGACCTCTCTTCCTTCTTGGCTTATTGGGGAGCCACTGTAGCAGGGCCTTTTCCCTGGTGTCTGAAGCAGAGAGGAAGGTGTCAGGAGAGATGCTGACCAAGACAAGCTGGTTGTGGAGGTGGGCAGGAAACAAGCCATGAAGCAGGGATATAGGTGCCTTAGCACATGGGTCAGGTAATGCTTTGTGCTGACAGCAGGAGTGGAAAATGCTTTGCCAGAGGCAGGGCTGAGGCTCGGATGTGTTGAGGACTTTGGAGGAGCAGGGCTTAATACATCAGTGGAAGGGAAAGTACTTGAAAGTGGGAGAGCAGCAAGGGCACTTGAGACCTGTATGGTGAGAAGACTGTTTAACAGCTCTGCTTGCTCCACTGCACAGTGCAAGGCCCAGGATTAGGCTTTGTCATGGAGTTCATGGAGTTGGGGCTGTTCAGTCTGGAGAAGAGAAGCTGCGTGGAGACCTCAGAGCAGCTTCCAGTATCTGAATGGGGCCTATAGGGATGCTGGGGAGGGACTCTTCATTAGGGACTGTAGTGATAGGACAAGGGGTAATGGGTTAAAACTTAAACAGGGGAAGTTTAGATTGGATCTAAGGAGGAAATTCTTTCCTGTGAGGGTGCTGAGGCACTGGAATGGGTTGCGCAGGGAAGTTGTGAATGCTCCATCCCTGGCAGTGTTCAAGGCCAGATTGGACGAAGCCTTGGGTGAGATGGTTTAGTGTGAGGTGTCCCTGCCCATGGCAGGGGGGTTGAAACTGGATGATCTTATGGTCCTTTCCAACCTGAACTATTCTATGATTCTATGTTACGTTATCCCAGTTCCTGGTAGGGATGCTTCAGGACTTGACATTGTAGACCCTGCTCTAGTTACATTCATTTATTTCAGAGCTGATTTGATCTGTGCTGTTTTGAAAGCACTTTTAGGGACATTTGCCACAATGGCCATATTTCTGCTAAACCGAATAGTTTTCTGGGTCAACTGCTTTTTGCTCTGTTCACCCTCCTATAGCCGTTTGGCCAAGTATCTATTATTTCATACCCATAGTTTACATAGTCTTTTTATCTATGACATTTCAAGGAGCTTTTAACTGAATTGCCACCCAACTTTATTTAATTCACAAGAAAAAGCCGTATATTGTAAGATTTTGGAGGAAAGATATTTTAAGGGATTCAAGAGAACCAAAGGACTCCTCTCTTACAGCAGTGTCAGTCGGCTTACCTGGACCGCATCAAACATCCTAACTCCAGCCCATGGCATGTGTTGAGTGTGCCTGGACTGCTCAAGTAGCGAGTGATCCCTGCCTGTGGTTAGGAATCACAGCCATGGGCAGCTTGGCAACTGCCTGAGTAAGAATTGCATTCATCCCTTTGACAGACCAGAGAACTTCCATGCCCTCCTTTAGGCATGCCACCTTTGGTTACCTTCATCACGTTTCCCTGCTCTGATTCTCCTTCATTGTCAATGAGGAGAACAGAATAGCACGTATACCAGATATGTTTCCTGTCTTGATCTCTTGCAGTGATTCCTGATGTCCTGCTCTCCACTGTGACCATGCAGGAGATCTGAGGTCATATTTTTGTAGAAGGCTGTACTTAATTAAATGCTTATTGTCGATTGGAAACTCACTGTCCACAAAGAGAAAGTGGGAACTTAGCTCAGATATAGACAATCACACTGTAGACATCCTCCTATCGTGAGACAGGTCTCTCCTCCCATGCCCCATTGTGTTGCAATATCCTGGGAAAATGGTGGGTTTCCCACCAGCTTTAGGTTAAGGAGTAAATAAATCCTCAGCTCACCACAGGTAATACTCTGGAGCACTGACTGCTTCTGATCTTGACCCAAGCATTGCTTTGTTGCTTTACTAACACTCAACTGATCCCTTATGGAAGATTTATGTTCCTCCTTAGCTTATGCCAGCAGGAGTGGCAAGAAACAGCAACTGTTGTCTATAAGCAGTGTGATTTCATGGAACTTTAAGCTGAGATCCAGGTAGGAATACAATAGAACTAGGAAAGGGTTGGAGAATTACAGCAATACTGATCAACGACAGAGACGGGCATCTGTAGCAGGAGCTACTGAGTAAGCTGGGATACTTCACTTTGGAAAAGAGACAACTGATGGGGATACACCAGAGGTCTTGCAGACCAAGTGGCTGATAGAGGGTGGACAAGAACTTACAGTTATTGGGGCATTAAATCAAGCCAGCTGGTGGCTTTAAAAATAACAAAACCAACCCCAAAATGCCCTGGATGGCACTCTTCACACAGCCAAAATGCTCTCACCAGGAGCTGTGGGACTGCAGGCTACACCATGTCACAGAAGCCAGATGTTTGCATGCAATTTAAGGAGAAACCAAGTAGATTTATGGAAGAAGAAAAACCCCTCAGTGTTACTAAACCCATCAACACCACCTTGGGCTGGGGAAGTCCCTAAGCTGTGAATTCTTGGTGTCTGGGACGTTTTTCAGGAGGTGAGCCTCTACGTGCACATTCTGTTCTTGTGCTTTGCCCAAGGAATCTGCCTTTGCACAGCGTCGCTGCTGGGCATGAGCCAAACTGGAAAATCTAAACAGAAAATTGGGAAAATTGGGGAATGGATCAAAAGAAAACTCAAATTACAAAGATGGCAGAAATGAAAGCAAGGGACGTATCAAAGCATCAGAAGTATGCAAAACTGGGAAGAAAAAAGGCAGAAAGGAACCTGATGAAAACTCCTTTGGAAATGTTCGCTGCTCCCTGATGGATCCAAGCAGCTGGTGATGGCTCCCTAGCGTAGTCTTACCTGGAGAGACAATAGGATCAAGGGATCAAGGTCTAGTAGCTGGGTCCACAATCACCTCTAGTGGCAGGTAGTAGCTACATCTACCCACTTGCACAATGGACAGAAGCTTGGCCAGAGCAGGGTGACACTGCTGAGGAATCCAGTCACCCTGTGGGCCCTCATGTGAGATGGGTAGAGGTAAAAGTGAGAAGCATCAGCAGGAGTCTCTAGAGGACCTGAAGGACATCTGCAGTCTTGAACTACAAGACATCAGGGTCTGCCTGTCACCACAACAGCTTTGTGAGGGGTGCTTTGAACTGCAGTGTGAGCACAGCCACCTTCACCATGCTAGGGTGGATTTTCCAACCTAGACCCCAGTCTGGACCTGATATAAACTGAAATAAACTGAAATCCTGAATTTCCACTTCCTTTGCTAGTAAAAGGCCCCAGCACTCTATGTCTGTGCAGCGATCCAAGAAAAGGAGATGGAATGATCAGATGTTCTTCAGACCCAGTTTGAAGTGAGCCATCTTGGTGTTACTCATCCAGATAAAATGGTGTGTAGGGCTACCCAGGAAGGCTGGTGAGACTGAAGTCCAATGATGAAGCATTCAGAGTCAAAATAAAGGGCCAGCACAGCCTGCAAAGCAGGAGGACAATGGGTGATGGTTTTAAACTTGAAAGAGGGGAGATTCAGACTAGGTATAAGGAAGACACCTTCACAACGAGGGTGGTGGAACACTGGCACAGGTTGTCCATAGAGGTGGTAGATGTTCCATCCCTGCAAGGTCAGGTTGGATGTGGATCTGAGCAACCTGATCTAGTTGAAGATGGCCCTGCTCATTGCAAAGGGAGTGAACTACGT